TCATCATCAACCACATCAACATCATCATCAACTACATCAACATCATCGTCGACTACATCAACTACATCAACATCATCGTCGACTACATCAACATCATCATCAACCACTTCAACATCGTCTTCGACTACATCAACATCGTCTTCGACTACATCGACATCATCGCCAACCACATCAATATCATCGTCAATTGCATCAACATCATTGTCAACTACATCAACGACATCGACAACAACAGGTTAGGGATATGTCAAAGGATTTGTAGTATTTTTGTGTAGTTCTTTAAAAAATGAGGGTGTGGACGTTAAAGATGAATACAAGATTCACATAATTATTCATCTATATCCACAATCAAGATTTACACGTGTTTCAAGTAGAATTTAACAAACTAAGATAGGCTGACTGAATATTTTTCTTTGGTACTCCATTAAAACATCATTATATTTCACATCAATATACCAGGATGACGTTTTTGTGCCCCCGTTTTTGACTACTCAGCTGTAGATTTTCATATCAACGTCCCAAATTCTTTATCATACTTTTTATGCTTCGCTTCAATGGATATCTATTTCTATCAGCTAGTGCTTTTTGATTAATTTAAAATATTATCAATTAGTCTATACAGTTGTATCAGTATGAAGAAGGTATTTAGTATATTTCTGCCATTAACTCTATCAGAAATAAAGTTCAACTCATCTATAATTTGCATCCAGTTCTCTTGGTTTATATGAGGCAAATAATTGAAGACCATCCTAATTGCATTCTATTAAGGGCATCTTTTTATCAGATTACTGCGTTTCGTGAAGAATACTTTCGAGTTATTTATGTAATTAATTAAGTTCGGCATATAACTAAGTAGCGCATTATTTAAAGAACATTGTCGATGGTATCATCACACTAAATATAGAAGCATATATACTCAGCACAGATTTGAATTGTAATGAACAGAAATCAGATGTGCGCAATGATTTCTAAGCTGGTGAGTAGGCTTCACTTCAAGAAGAAGGAGAAACGACTCCTAGTTATCATGCAGATTGTCAAAAGTTGTTCGAAAACGGAATCATTTGACCCTATTTATCATTCTAATACATTCCAATTAAGATATGGTTTTAGATACGAAAAACAAATTGTAATAATAGGATACTGTCCTTATAGTAATACAAATACGAAGAATAGCTTTTCTATTTCTGACAGGTTGCACCAATCTCGGTATGTTTCCATATCAATCGACCTATTCAGTTGGCATCAATCCTCAATCAGTAGCAGTAGTCGATGTGAATAGCGACAACAAACCAGATATTATTGTGGCAAATCTTGGTTCGAACACCGTCAGCGTGCTGTTGAACGCAGGCAATGGCACCTTTCTCAGTCAAAGTACTTACACAGTTGGTAATATTCCACAGTCAGTGGCCGTAGTCGATGTAAATAGCGACAACAAACCTGATATTATTGTAGCAAATGCTGGTACTAATAATGTTGGTGTTTTGCTCAATACAGGTACTGGCACCTTTTTGACTCAAACTACCTACTTAGTTGGTAATCAACCAGTATCAGTAACAGTATCCGATGTGAATAATGACAACAAACCAGATATTATTGTGGCAAATTTTCTTCCTAGCACCGTTAGTGTTTTACTCAATGCAGGCACTGGCACTTTTTTGACTCAAACAACTTACACAGTTGGTCTTAATCCATGGTCAGTAACAGTATCTGATATAAATAATGACAACAAACCAGATATTATTGTGGCAAATGGTGGTCCTAATACCGTTGGTGTCTTGCTCAATACAGGTAGTGGTACCTTTCTGGGTCAAGTTACTTACGCAACCGGTACTCTCCCAAAATCAGTAGCAATAGCCGATGTGAATAATGACACTAAACCCGATATTATTGTGTCAAATTTTGCTGCTAATACCGTTAGTGTTCTGCTCAATAGAGGGAACGGAACCTTTTTGGCTCAAACTGCATACTCAGTTAGTGTTAATCCTCAATCAGTAGCAGTGGTCGATGTGAATAACGACCATTATCCTGATATTACTGTGGCAAACTCTCCTTCTAACACCGTTGGTGTCTTGCTCAACACGGGTAATGGGACCTTTCTGAGTCAAACTGTTTACTCAGTGGGTCTTCTGTCATATTCAGTAGCAGTAATGGATGTGAATAATGACAATAAAACAGATATTATTGTCACAAATGCTGGTTCGAACAGCGTCAGTGTTCTCTCACATTGTTAAAACTTATTAAATAAACTGTACGATTAGGGTGTAGATGGATGAGGGTAAATGTAAATAAACAGACATAAACATTAATGCCCTCATCCATCCTCATAAATGGTCTCTTTATTACCCCACATCCAAATATATGATAAATGTAATGTCATATTTAATGTTGTAGATCGAGTATTTAAATGTTTGTTTTTCTCACTTATATATGATGGCGTTCAGTTGAAGAAAAATTGAGGGTGTGAGTCTGGCTACGGTTGACAATTAAAAGAAGATGCATCAAGTCGCAGATTTAGGAGGCATGATCACACCCCGTTTCAATTTCTTTTTCGTTTTTTCCAGCAAAAATGGTCCGAAAATCAATATATGATAATATCAAATATGATGGCAATACAATTTTGGATTGAAGTCGTCCCTCGATCATAAAATCCTAGATCCATCAATGGATTCACCCACGTCCTCAAGATGGACATATTTCGTTAAATACCCTTTTAAGGATGAATACCAACGGTTAGAAGAATAATTTGCCGTTTTTGAAAGTAGGTCATAAAAGAAATAAAATAGATTCGTTTTTATGCTAAAGCGCTCAACAGTTTAAAAGACCTGGGATCTTCTGTTATGTGTATAAACCGAATTAATGTTTTGAAGATTTCAGCGAAACATGCTAATTTCAACCCTTTTTTATCCGATAGGTCGTTAGTAAGAGGAGTATTCTTGAAACAATATAGATAGCATATCTTAAAATTTAGATGCAATTTCTAGCAGCACTATTTTTTCTAAAGAATGTGATGTATTGCTGGCAGTATTTATAGTCTATATAATCACATTCTTGATGCAAAAGTCTTTCGCCTACCATGTTTCTATATTATTATGCGCTACATTAAATTTATTGCCGAATAAAGATATGACATATATCTCATTGCAATAAAAATCTCATGTCGTATCTTTACGTGGTTATAAATTTGATGCAAACTACGATAGTTTAGAAATAGTAAGGCGAAATACTGTTATTTGAGGCTTTAAATAATTTAAAGATAGAAAATTAAACTTGTTTCTGCTAAAGTTATTGAATTTAGTTGTTTATGTTGAAGGCTGATTCGTATAAATAAATAAAATGGTACTACAAGTTTAGTAATTAGTTTCAAGCTGATTTAAATGAATATGACCGTCTACGAACAAAAAAATTTACTGGAAGAGAGTGATCGAATACATGTTGAAAGTGAGTTTAGAATCTTTCATGTTTGTTTCGAAAAGCACCTTGGTATCTTTATACGAAAAGAAATACGTTTTCGGACACAAGAGGAGTATTTTATAAAATACATCTTATTACATATTCTCGGAGATATATTTTTCGAATAATAAATAAGATTTCCCAAAATAAAAACGTGTCACCATTTCTAGAAGATGGCGCACAAACGAAGCTAAGTATGAAGTGATAAGTACCGGTTTTTTACTGAAGATATTCTTGTTTTAGAAGAGTCTCTTCCTATGACAGTTAAGACGAATATTTTTGCGAAGAAAATCTAACAAGTTCCCTCACAGCACACTGCAAAGGTGTATTAAAGTGACTTCAAAACAATTCTTTAATACAGAAAGTATTATTTTTATTAACTCCCCTTGTCTTTCAGCTTTTTCTCATGCTTTGTCCAACTCAGAACTGATACGCTGCTCAGATGATGGAAACAAAATATCATCCATAATATAATTACTCAGATACTAACGTTTACAAAAATGCTAAAAATTTTAAAAAACTTTATTTTCATAGCAGGTCTTCTAATGTATCGGAGGTTTTAGTAACTAAAGAAATAAATGTCGATCATTCATGGTTGTTTAAAGGTATTTTGTATAATGATCAATCGCATCTTGACTCTGATTGGTTGTCGTGGTCGCTTCCCATCGATACCTTTTTTATTTGTTTATTCAGGTATTTGTTTTTATTACGGGACATGTGCATCTACGATTACATATCGAATCGACATAAAATATAAGTAGTAAAGAGAAAAAAACAAAGTCGTTGTTTTCACTTGGTAAGTATATACAATGAGATTTTATTTCGATAAATTATTCTATTCATCAGTTAGTTTTTCTGAATAATATATTCTCTTAGTATTACATATAAGACGTCAAGATATAGTTTAAAAATCATAATCATATTCAATCAATTAGATATACTATATAAATATTAGATTTACGGAATTTTTATCTCGAAATCATAAGGCAGCTTCTGACACATATACTATTAATGACGCATAGCATAAAATAGAGAACATATAAATATATAAAAAAGGATCGTATAGTATACGTCACAAATATATAGCATGTTATTTAGAGAGAAAAAAGGGAAAAAACACATGACAGAAAGCAAGAAAACGAATATATAGATAATATTCTTAATCATTCTATTTTATAACACATCTTTCTTATTATGTATTATAGCAACTAGACAAAAAATTTAATTTACAATAAAAATAATTTTTCAAATATTTTAAATAACTTTATACTAACTAAAGTCACTCATCGATTTGGATCGTCTATTTTTATAATATCTATCATATGTCACCTTTTGATTTACTTTCTTTTATCCTGACTAGCATTAAAATTAAAGCTATTCTATTTTTATTTAAAAACTGACAAGAAAATCTAATAACGAATGAATAAACAACAGTCTGTCTGAACACTTAATTAACAGTAACTGAACACACATATATATCTTTTTTTAATCACGCGCGCTTTCTAACACGAGCCTAGATAAAAGAATAATATTATATTTTCACTAACAATTTCATATTCAAAACATGGTACGAGTGTAAATAGGAATTTTGAATGAATATAATATTCATTTTTATATCTCCTTACATACACACACTATATTTCACATTAACACACTTTTCGGTCAAGTATAATATTTAATCGATTATATTTAACTTAAGTCACTTTTTGTTATGAATTTATTCGACGACAGAAAAATTATCAGAAAATGAGATTTATCGTTCGTTTGTTTATTTTTTTATTGAAGCAATGTATTAGCACGTTTTGCTAAATTTAAACGACACAGTCACATTTAAAACTACTTAAAAGTAATTCGATCGAGATAAATTTCGATGAAATAAAAGATGAAATAATTGTAGGAATAAGTTCACCTTAATAACATCTATTATTGACTTTTTATTATTATTAAAGAAAAATGCCGTATGTTTATTCTGTTCTGCGATGACATACAACTTCGTATTAATGACACATACTGTACACACAGATGTTTTTTTTTCCTTTTCGTTTCTTCTCACATAGGTTTTCTCCCACCATTCTCTTCACTTTATATAGTTCATATATATATTTCCCAATTACTATGGTAATTTCCAAATATCTCTTATGTGTAAGTTTGTTCACACACATATATATAGTGATCATTTAAAAGATTAATTCATTTACTTTTTAGAAGAAAATATAGAAATCTAATAACTTGTAAGTTACACATAATAGATAAAAGTAACAGGCTTTTTGTTCTTATCTTATAGTCTATATCATATATCATTATTATCATATGAAAATTTTCTTTTTATATCTAGACTATTGAATAAATTGATAATTCTTACATTATTATTTCGTCGACAATGAGTATATCTTTTAAACCACAAAATACAAAAGCTTCTGCTACAAAACGAATTATCAGGTATGTAAAGAAGAAGAGAAAAAAAATAAGCAGAATATATTTACTAATTAAATGTTTAGAGATTTGAGAGATCTAGAAAAATGTCCCGTACCAGGTCTTGCTGTTACTTGTCCAGATCCATCAAATCCATTTAACTTACATTGTAATGTATGTATTAAATTTCATATATAATACAGAATATTATATCGTTTGTTTTCCAGGTATTAATCAATGATGGACCATATCAAGGCATTATGATTCATTTAATTCTTCGTATTCCAGAAGATTATCCATTAACAGGTCCTGCTGGAAATATAGCACCTGGGTTAGAATTTAATTCCAAATATCATGGTCATATTCATGAAGATCACAGGTATGTTTAGACTTCAAATAAGAATTTGATAATTATTTTCTCATGTATCTATAGAAATGGTCATGCGTTATGTAATGATTTATTAACAAATTATGCTTATTTTTTTAAATCGGTCGATAATGGTGGTGCTAAACAAGCTAGTGGATGGAGGTAAATATTAAACAATTTCTCATTATATATTAAATTAATTTTCTTTTCTATTATCTTTATAGTCCAGGTTATACTTTATCAACTGCTCTTCTTCAAATCGTTACATTTTTTGCTGAACCTGATCTACGTTATGAACCATCTTCGGAAAGTATTATTCATTTACGTAATATGGTAAAATCTTTCCAATGTAAAACATGTGGTCATTCATATGATGAACCAATTCCAGCAATAGTTGATTATTCTTCAACAGAAAAAGCCAAAGACGAACAGCCAACATTAAACAATGATGAAGAAGAACAAAAAATATTAAAAGCTAAAGAAGAAGAATTAAAATTACTAAATGAATTAATGGAAAAATTAACATGTGGTGTAACTAAACAGAATGCATTAGAAGATCAAATTTGTTTAGGTTATCCATTATTAATTAAACGTGATAAATATGGTCGATTATGGTCAGATATTATTCTCGAACTTATTTCATATGATGCATATATTGCTGAAATACAAAAATCAGGTGGACATAAATTAGATTTTTATGAAAATTCAAAATTTCGTTCAGTTACTGGACAAGATTATAATCATTGGTTACCCATATATATCAATATAAATCATTTTCAACAAGGTCAAATACTTATTCAAAATAGTATTAGTATTATTTCTAATGGTACTGCATTAGGAAGTGAAAAATATGATTTTACACCAATGTTAGCATTAAATGTATTAACAACATTAATGAATAAATCAAGTGTACAATTATTTAATGGACAATTATTTGAATCTAAACATGCGATTGAAGCATATTGTCATTTCTTACGTTTATTAATGCATTTTATTGATATTTATCCAGAATTAGGTAAATTAAATAGATAATATTTCGAAATTTTTGTATATAATTGTCATTTAGATCGTAAAATTAATACTACTATCGAAAATTTCATCACAAATTTATCTAATCGAAATAAAAGAGTTATACCAGATATAGGTGAATTTTTAATTCATGTTGCATTATCAAGTAAACATCAATTTAGTGAAATCAAAAATTATATTTATGAAGAATATTTTGCTAGACAAGTCTATTGGATTCAACGAAATGGTACTACTCCAAATTTATTAGATATAAAAATTACAGATCTACCAAATATATTTCAAGCTGCGAAAGTATCAAATCATTTATTAGTATTTAATTTGGAAATGGCAAAAACATTTATTTTTTCTGGTGTTAAACAGTTAGTTGATGATTTCTATTTTGTCTTAATAGTATTAACTATATATATATATATATATGTTTTAGACATTTAGATCGATTACATGGATATCCACCAAATAATATTGTTGAAAAATTTCAACAACAATTAAAAGCTATTAAAACTTTGGATAAATATAGTGATTTTATTAAAGCTATTAAATTAGATAATGAAATCAAATCACCTGGCGATATGATTACTTTAATTACACGTTCAGTTGAAATATCAAATAAACAAGGTTATACAAATATATTATCAATTGTCGAACAACAAGATCGAAGATTCGACGAACGAAAACGATATAATCCACAACAACAATCTTATAATAGATATGACAAACGATAATCATCTATAGTTTATAGCGGAAAAGTTTTTTTTCTAGTGTATTTAATCTTTTTATACAAGAATTGTTTTTTGTTTATGTATTGTATTATCATTGATTATTTAAAATAGAAACATATGAAAGTTACAAATATTTTTTGAGTTTTGCATCATTTACATATGTATCAAATTATGACAAAACTTTGAAGCATATTTTCCATTCAAATTAGTTTGAAATTTCTAACGAACTATTTTTTATTGTATATAAACGAAACATCATTAAAATCAAAAGAATTGCATAGAAGCGAAACACTCAAAATAAATATGTGTTTTCATGCATGTTTTGACGAAGTAATATATTTGAGGTGAAAAAAACTCTTCGAGATTTATTTTTTCTTCGCATTTTTTTCTCTCTCGTAGACGTATAAAAACGTGTTCCTGTAGCGCACAAAGAATAATACACACACACATCAGTTTGCTATTGTGACTAAGATTGACTTTTGAAACTCATAATTTTATGTCTATGACACATGGAAGTTAATCGAGTCCAGCTGATGACTTACACATCATTAGTTGATACACTCCCACTACATTTACTTACAATGTACAAAAGTGATAAACCAAATCGGCCAGGCGCATCAGTAGAATCATCTAGTAGGTCATTTTATCAACGAAATTCGTCAATACTGATGGCTAACGACTACTCTTTTATCACATAATTTAGCTTATTCAAACGTTTGAGATCTTTTTATATAGGTGATCACAAAGGTTACCCATTTTATGAAGTCTTGTTAAGAGAAAAACCGAATATTATATTAAATATTAATGAAATTGCCGTTCAGTAATAATCGAAAATGTTATTTATATTGGTGTTCGTAGGTGCGTCAAACCAAATGATGGTTTGGTCTGTTTTCTTGGTTTGCACTTTTATATTTTTCCTTGTTTTCAATACTCTTACCTTTTGATATTGGTCATGCTTTCTGGGCTATTACTTTTTTGTCATGTTTTCCGTACTATTACCTTTTGAAATTTGTCATGCTTTCTGGGCTATTACCTTTTGACGTCTTTCCTTTCTGTGTAACGCTACTGAATGTTTCGAGTGCTATATAAGACACGAGAAATGTTCGGTTAGCAGGCGATTTCTTTCGAAGAATAAAGTATACGTATATACCAAATCTTATACTGCTCTGCACTGAACTTGACATCGTCACAGTAGGAATATCTATTCAGTAATCATACTTACTAAGCTTCATAATAACATTCAGTAAAGATCTGATTATTATTGCTTCTTTTTGGCAGATATTATGACTTCTACAGAAATAGCAACGGATAAGGCCGAAGGTGATAATGATCGATATCATCGAGAACTTTATAATGCTATTCAAGACGATGATTTTCAACGGTTGAAAGATATACTTAATGAACTAGATCAATGTAAAGAATCCACCACGAAGAAAGAAGTACTCAATATGGGTATGTTAAAATTTATTATTTGAAGTTTTTCACTTTCTTTTAATAGAAAAACTTCTTTCGAGTAGTCTTAGACATGAATGAGTTCGATTCTTTCAAATGTTTGATTGCGAAGAATACTATATGCTTGACAATTATGATCATTTTTATATCATTTTATTATGTGAAGATGTTTCTTGTTGGAATGATAGTCATACTTCTTCTAAGCTCAAGATGAGTTTTTTTGTTTCGTAATAGTATTTATTCAATTGATCTTGATGTTTTGTTACTGAATTAAAATCATAGGATTGTTTTTCTCATCTAAAAAAATTATTTTCGATCATTAAAACATCTTAATGACTAATACTCTTTAGTTGATTATCACTAAAAAAAAAACATTGTTTAGGTAATGGATTCAATATTATGTTAGATATACTCAACCAAAATTATCAACCACATAGTTTCTTTCGAGCATTAACCTATGAAGAATCATGAATAATAATAGTTTATCTACAAATCGATCATCGACGTGGTCGTTGGTCTACATTTGTCTGTCTGATTAAAAAATACCCACTTCATCAAAACACAATTTAAAAGTGAACTCAAAATTATAATAGATTTCCATTCATCTGTCTGTTCATTGATATTTGATTGCTATAACACAATTCCATTATGTCGATGAATAGTAAATGTGTGTGTTCTATTAACTGTTATTTGACGATTCATATATGTGAGCAACTGACTATCAATCTTTCTTTAAGTCTTTCAGTGGTGATCTAATTGATGATTAATAAAAGTTAAATTTAGCTCTAAACCTTTTCATAATTATATCTAACAAAACGTTTCGTCATCATTTCATTAGTTATTAGCAATAGTTTTACTTGTATCAGTTTTTTTTCAATCTTATTGAGTTGTTTCCAGTTAAACAATACTAATTATAGTAAAATTGAACTTTTACCGATTTAAGTCTCACAACCTTCTTCCAATAATATGCAAAGACGAAAAACAATAGAAGGGAACGATGTATTTTCTTTCTAGGCTATCAGGAACAAGATGGATCAACAGCATTAAGTATAGCAGCTGAAAAAAAACATAAAGCTGTCACCGAACTTTTAGCTGGTAAGTTTTGATGAAAAACAAATATCAATGGATAAATAATTTTTTGTACGTTTCTGGTAGCATGTCCGGAAGTCGAAGTTAACAAAGCATCATTATCTGGTATTACACCATTATTAATGGTTGCCGAAGTTGGTTGGTCAGATATTCTTGATATTCTATTAGAACGTGGTGCTGTAGTTGATTCAGCACCAACTGGTAAACGAGCTGAAGATAATAAATTAGCTGGTTCAACACCATTAATTGGTGCAACAAAATACAATCATCCAGAATGTGTTAAACTTTTATTAGAACATCATGCAAATCCAAATCATCAAAATCAGTCGGGAACATCAGCATTAATGATTGCAGCTGAACATGGTTATTTTGAATGTGTTAAATTACTTGTTGAAGCACGAGCTGATCTTGAATTAGCATCAAGTGGTAGGTTTTGTTTTTTTATATTTGAAAGATAAACTATAATGAATTATTTAGATCAATTGGCTTTAACTATGAATTTATGTGGCCAAACAGCATTATTTTCCGCGGCGAAAGAAGGTAGAACAGAAATAGTTAAATATTTATTAGATCGTGGAGCTAATCCTCGTGTACAAAATCATTATGGTGTTAGTGCTTTATGGATACCAGCACTAAAAGGCATGTTAGAAGTTGTTGAATTATTATTAAATGCTGGTGCTGACACAAATGTTGCTCCATTCGGTAATGTAGCTGATGAATTAAATATAACTGGTTGGACACCCCTTTATGCTGCAATGAAATCTGGAAAATTTGATGTAGTTAAATTACTTCTTAAACGTGGTGCTGATCCAAATGCAGTACAAAAATTGATTTCAACACCATTTTTACTTGCATCTGAAATATGTGATTTGGATGTAATCGAAGCATGTGTTGAAGCCGGTGCTGATCTTGAGTTTAAACCCAGTGGTTCAGATGCTGATAATTTAAATATAACTGGTCAAACAGCACTTTTTATGGCTACATTAAAAAATCGTGTTGATGTTGTGAAATTTTTAATACAAAAAAAAGCACAAATTAATGTACAAAATCGTTATGGTGTATCACCATTACTTCTTTGTGCTGAATCAGGAAATTATGAACTTGTTCAAGCATTGGTAGAAGGTGGAGCTGATGTTAATATCATACCGCAAGGCGCATTAGCGGAAGAAAGTATTCTTGCCGGACAGGTAATATATATATATTGCATTTAGTCATGTACATAAAAATAACCAAATTTATGTTTTTTTTAGACGCCACTTTTTGGTGCTGCGAACAAAGGCCATGTTAAAATTTGTGAATATCTTATAAAAAATGGTGCTGATCTCAATGCTGTAACAGTGGTATATTAACTATATTTCTCTATTCTTTTAATTATTTCTTTTCTATAGACTGGTGCCACACCATTGTATACGGCTATTGAAGAAGGTCATTTAGAAGTTGTAGAATTATTAATTCGACATGGTGCCGATGTTAATCAATCACCTCAAGGTGAAGTTGCACGAGATCTTCATATTGAAAATCAAACACCTCTATTAATGGCATGTATGAAAAATTATGAGACAATTATTCGTCATTTAATTGAATCTGGTGCAAATGTTAATGTTACATCTGAATATGGATCATCACCATTTCTTGCTATATGTCAACATAATAATGTTGAATTAGCACGATTGCTTATTCAACATGGAGCGCGACATGATGTTGAAACAAAAAATGAAAATGATGGAACAATTAATGGTTTAATTGTTGCAGCTGAATACGGTTCATTTGATATTTTACGTTTGTTAGTTGAAGCAGGATTAGATATTAATTATAAAATTGAAGGAAAAGTAAGATTATCTATAGAAGAATTTATTCATAAATTTTTATTATTTAAATAGGGTGAATCAGCTGGTCGTACACCTTTATTTTGTGCATGTGCAGCAGGCTTCCAAAATATTGTTGAATATTTAATTGATCGAGGAGCTGATGTTAATGCAACAGAAAAAGTATGTAAATAAATATCTACTCAGTTTTATTATTATCATTATTATTATTTTAGAGTGGTCTTTCATGTTTACATATTGCTGCAGCTATGGGCCATGCTGATACTGTTCGAATCTTATGTGAACGTGGTGCAAATGTTAATCAAGCATTTCGTTACGAAGAACAAGATACAACTGCTTATGACTTAGCTGAATCTCAGCAACACGACCATGTTTGTCAAATACTTAAAAGTTTCGAAACTCGACAACCACCACTTAGTACACTGCCTAGCCACGTAGAACCTAATAAATAAATCTGTTCTATTTGTTGAGTTATAAAGCAATATTTAAGTATAGTACGAGTAATTTCAGGAATATTTATTGAAGCACTGATGATCCTTTGGATTTCGTTTTTTTATTCCCATTATTTATGTGAATAGATTTATCATTTAAATAAATCTGTTCGAAACCGATTAGACTATCAATACGCGTTGGTTTTTGTTTTTGTTTACTTTCAATACAAACTCCATTAGTTACAGTTCGAAATAATTGTTTTATGTCTTTATTGGGTTTTGTCATATGTTTCAATAAATGTTTAGCAAATAATCCATTTCTTTCAGTTAATAAACCATCAGAAGCAATTTGCTATGGACTACAAGCAAAGACAACATATGTACCAACAGGTAATTCCATTGGATGTGAATCATTACTTTCACGTTTAACTAAACAAAGTTATATACATATAATATATTTTCTGAAATACGTATTCGTATTCGTTTTTCCTTCTTACCATTGTTAATTCTCTTCTTTTTGTATGGATAAGGTAATCGACAACAATCTAATATAAATATGATAATTGAAGATGGATATTGTTTTGACCATTGATGAAGGATACATTCAATATTAATTGCACAATTCTCTATACCTTTGTCATTCTCAACTAATTCATCATCAATTGGTAATAAATAATTTCTTCCATTAATTTCACAACCATGACCAGAAAACTAGAATAAAATTAAATCACCATCACTAATTATATTTGAAAAATCTGAAAACGCACAAATCATTTCTGAATTATATAAATCATGTTCGGTTTTCACATGAAATTTCATATTTCGTAAAGCAATACTAATATCATCAACATCATTAATTGTATGACGAAGTTGATCTTCAGATCGATAATAATTTTGATTTCCAATAAGTAATGCAACTTTACGTTGAAATCTTAAGACAGTAGAAGTTGAAGTAGCCATATAATTCAATTCAAATTCAGATAAATTCACTGCTGAAATATCGTCGAGAAATAGAATGAAACTTTTTTTTATTTATTTCAGACAAATATCATACACATATGAGTCATAGAAAATATTTCATAAGTATTTCGCAATATATCCTTACGTGGGAGTCTATATGCATTGATCGATCATTCTCACATTTCTTTATTCTTGAGAATATGATATATTTATATACTTGTATCCACACCCACACCCTTTAATATGAATGTTAACCACTTTAAAATATAATCATTATCAAAAGATGATAAAGTTGGTTGAAACTGTTGTTCGAGAGTCATTGTACTTCGTTGTATAAATGTATTATAATGTAAGAGAAATTCGCTAATGGATTCAAGTTGATTATTCTGTTTTGATTCAGACAATAATTTATTTTGCCATTCATCATAAGAAATACTTTCAATTTGAATACCAATATTACGAATAGTTTCTATAATGTTTTGAAATGATATTTCATTATTTTCATTAGTGACATGGTAAATTCTTTTGTCATCATGAGATTGAATACGATCGAGAGAAATGATATCTTGTACAGCATAATCAACTGGCGATTCTTTCAACATCATGTTAACTAACGTCGCGGGATAATAACCGATTTTCATGATTGTACTGATCAATAAAGTATTGAGATCATGTCGATTACAAGCGCCAGTTTCAGTATGTGCACCGATCGAACCTAGTCGGTAGATAACAACTGGTAGACCCATACGTGCAGCATTCATGATAAGTTTTTCTGCTACCCATTTACTTTGTGCATAACCAGTTTTCAAATTATCTGGAGGGATATTGTCAATAGATATTTCCTCCGTCATTTTACCAGATAGAACAGTCATTGTTGAAATATATTGTATTGGTATGCATAGGGGAGAATGGCAAGCAAGACGAATTACTTCACGAGTACCACAAACATTTGCATCATAAAGTAGATTATATGGAAGTATAAAGTTCACTATAGCACCACAATGAAAGATTATGTTAATTTTCTTGGCAAGATCCTCATACGTTTGATTATCTAATCCAAAACGATTTTCAGCAAGATCACCTCGAAGAGCTACAATTCGTTCTCGAAAATCTTCATTCCATATTTGAAGAAACAACATATTTTGCCGAATACGATCTATGGGATCCATCAAAGGTTTACATCTTACAAGACATACAAATTTACAGTTAGTCGGATATACTTTCAACATACGTGCTAAAAGAAAACCACCAACATATCCGGTAGCTCCTGTAAGAAAAACCATTGTTGGAGTATTCGTAATATTTCTGCATTGTTCAATCGTTATATTTAGTTCAAGTTCAGCATCTTTCAGTAGTCGTGGTACGATCGATTCTGATGAATCAGTTATCTGTGATGGATTTTTGATGAAATCAGCTAGTCGTTGCAGAGTCATATTTGGTTGAAAGAGAAGATTGAATGGTATTGATACTCCTAAATCATTACGTATCATATGCGATAGACGCAAACTTGTTAATGAATCTTCACCCATTGTTATAAAAAAATGATCGTTTTCCATGTTTGATAGTTGTTGTCCAGTTACTTTTTCAATAATATTTTTCAATCGATCATCAATCATTTTGTTATCATTTAATCGATCAGCATAATGTGCAGCTAATTTATAACGACAAAGTTTCATTGATAATGTAAGAAGTCCATTTTCAGCTGTAAATGGTTGAAAATCAATAATTAATTTTGATGGAATTTCATGTCTCTGAAGTGATTGTTGAGCAGCTATTGTTTGTAGATCATTGAGAATTGCATCACAAAATAATTTCTGTGGATTGATAGGATCGATTGAATTGAGATTATGTTTTGTAGCGAACATCTGAGCATATTGTTTGTTAGGTACAACAACTGCCTTAACGGAATTTTCCAAACCATTGCCATAGATATAAATCTGTTCAATGAATAGACTTTATAAATAAATACATTCAAGAGATTCTGGCGAAATAAATTGTCCTTGAGAGAGTTTAAAGAAATTTTTCTTACGATCAATTACATGTATATCAGGTTTCTGTTTTGTTACACCGCGCAATTCAACAATATCACCTGTTCGAAAGAATCCATCTTCAGTAAGTGCTTCTTTCGTTTCTTCGGGATTGTTGATATATCCGGAAAACATTTGTGTAGTTTTAACTAGAAGTTCTCCTCGTGGATATGGTTTATCGTTCAATGTATATCCTATTTCTGTAGCAGATTCAAGACGATAATCAATCATTGTTCTAAGAAAATCATAATCAAATGTTATTCTTCCACATTCTGTAGTTCCATACGATTCAACTATTTTACAATGTCGAAAACATCGTTGAATAAATTTTAATATCGTTGAACTAACCATAGCACCACCAACGGAAATAACTCGACATCGCGCTGGAATTATTTTAGAAAATTGTTCAAGAAGACATTCTTCATTATCCATACCTGATAATAATAACATTGTATTGAATTCCAAATAAATCTTATTCCAAAACGTGGGTTGTGCAGAAAAAGATGTAGGCTCAACCAAAGCTAATTCTTCTGTAAGTTGTGCTACATTTCCCGTTGAGAATCCAGTAGATCCTCCTTTTAAAAATCCTAGAATTGTAGCCTTACGATCAGTTATCCATACTAATGGCCGATAGCAAAATTTCACAGATTTTTCTAATTTAGATACGTATTCTGTTGGATACTGCTGTTTGAAGACTTTTTCCGATAACATTGCTCCTTTAGGAAATCCTGAACTTCCACTTGTATATACTACGGTAATACAATCATTAGGTTCATTAATAATATATTCACGTTTCTTCGTAGATCCATGTTTTTCGATATTGTTCATGTAATGAATTGAAAGACCATCTTTTTCTATTATATTCATATTCTCGTATAATGAATATTTATCGGAAATAGTTTCAAAGATAGGATCCATACAGATGAGATGACGTAATGTTGAACATTCCGAATGTATTTGAATAAATTTTGATAACATTTCCTGATCACATACAATAGCAGATATTCGTGTATTATTAATAATAAAAATTATATCATGATCGCTTAACCGACTGGAAATTGGTACACTGATAATACTTTGTAAAATACAAGCAAAATCAGCAATTATCCATTCAGGTCGATTAACTGCACAAATACCCAAATAATCTCGTGGTTGTAGCAAACTTGACAGTCCATAACTGAAATTTTTTATTCTATCACCTACTATTTTGAATGTCTGCCAAGAGTATGAATTTTCATAATTATTTAGATCCATTTTACATCTGTCTCTCGTACCGAGACAAGGTTGATCCCAATTAAATTCTACGGCAGTTAGAATCTGACTTGCCAGATCCATTTTAGTACATATCTTTTCTATTCCATAATCAAGAGTAAATTTTCGGACTAAGTAATGAGAATGTGCCGGTTGTTTTGTTGCTTTACACATTTGACAAAGATTGTAATTAACACATATCGTGCAGTTAAACCAATGTTCTCCACATGCGAACATACGACTGCATCCATCACAGTGATGAATGTTAGTATTCATCTAGCGAAGAGAAATATGATTTGAAAAAAGTTAAAATATATCAATTAATTATTTAGTTAGAAAAAAAGAGCAATAATGAACTCATTGTTTTGTCTAAATAAATCTCATGCACATGTTTTAAGTATTGTTACGATAAAATGACGACAACGCATGTTGTGCAAGAACGTTTTTTCTTACTCATATTATGATTAAAACAATAAAGTATGTTATTTTTCTTCCTTTCTGTTTATCACGTCATCAAATCTTTCTATAATGAATCATTGAAATTGTTTTGTGCTCCTTTTCGAAAAACATCTGATGTTTTTTTTATGTTTAAAAATGAAAATTGTAATGGTGTTTATTTAAGTATTTGATATGAATATATAGACAGAAATAATTTACTTTTATAGATTCAATTTTAAACATATATTATTGAAAAAAATAAGAGATCAGTATGGGTGTAGGTGATGATGTAAAATAATCTTTCAACCACACCCAACTTTATCTATCGCTTAATACTTGATTATGATACCTCCGAACTTAGACTAACATTTGATACGATTGCATGCAGAATATAAGGAGCATAGTTATTATAAACTTCTGTAATATTCTATCTATTCAACTGAATACTATTTTGCCATGTTGAACAACAAAAAGGTAACTATGATGTGATAGCAGCGACATATTAATATACACAAAACAAAAGAACTATAAGCATAATAAGTTTACATTTGATCAACACGTTTTTAGCAATATTGACCAGTTTCTACATATATCTAGTTGGAATTATAGATGGTAGCACATAGAGCTTTTCGCCCGAATAAAATAAGAAATGGAAATAATTAATTTAATCTAACAAAGTGCTTTCCTTTGCATTACTATCATTTTTTATATATGTAGAAGGTCGCTGAACTAAAGAATAGTATCTCTCAAATCATTAATGAATGGATTAAAGAAAGTATCATAAAACGAAATTTCATCTCAATGATTATCATTTAGAAATGAAATTAGTAGCCATTATTGTAAATTAAATACGACAAACTTTTTCTTTTATATGCTGTTTTCAGTAGACTTTTGTCAGTTAAATACAAAAAGAAAATAATAGAATAAAGTAATCATCAAATGACTTTTCTTTGCTTTATTTTACGATATCTGGGTATTTTTTACAAGTTGATTTAATCAAAGAAAAAGAAATGAATATTAGACAAAATACAACTACGTGTTTGTTTCTTCGTATAGAATATCAATTTCATCAGTAGCTGTAAATGATGATTGAAACGAAATTCTTTTGACTGATATTCAATATCTTAATTTTATTATGAACAACTTTCATCAACAATATTTTTTTCTAAGAAATACTCGATGCAAAACATATGACAGTTTTTCCGAGTGTTTAATTATTTATTTAATAGCATTGTAAAATATGCAGCAAAAGAAAAGGGATGGTAGTTAACAAACATTTATGAAAAAAAAAACAGTCGCATAGGTAAAGTAATATACTATGCTTTGGATAATGGTAGTTTTATCGTTGTTTTCTGTCGTTGATTCGATTACGATTGGTGAAATAGATAATTATATGATCATTGGTACAATGACTAAATTTTTATCGAATTCAACTCGTGCTAATTGCATATGTCATATGACACAATCCAATACATTAATATCTGCCATCAATTATTTTTCACAAAATCAAACTTGTCAATTATTTTTTTCAAATAATAACTCAATGATCATTGAATATCAAGTTAATTCTACTTTAATATTTATTAATCAATCAATAATTTCAATTCAAACAAATAGTAAGTTATAATTTGTGAAATTTGATGAATTTTGACGTAGAAATCATATATTTTAATAATATCGACTAGAACAATTGTTTTTATTTATTTTTAGGCATGTCAACTTTGATGACTAGCACAACGTAAGACTTAATAGAATAATACACATAGACATTGATGAAAAGTTTCTATATAATTTAGCTCATCAACTACTACAAGTAGCACGACAACAAGCTCAAGTACATCCACAACTACAACCACTACCACAGGTAAATTAGATATATTTATTTCTTAGTGAACTTATTATCATGATGATTCAAAAAATAAAAGTAATCCAAATAGTACAGATGCATCTTGTCTCTCGAACTTGAAACTTCTATTCTCTCCAGCATTGTCGTATCATGTAATTCAACACATCATTTACTATAAGCATTTTAATTGTCAAGTGCTCTCTTCTTGTGCTCATAACAGAAAAAACTGTATTTAAATAATCTCACCATAATAATTCATATAATTTCTGTTAAGAGAATGATTATATTTCTATATACAACCGCAGAAGAAGCGAGTGTATATAACCTACTTTATTTGTCATTTATTGTACGATGCTGTTAAATTATCTATATTAAACAAAAGAATTCTCTTCTATGATCAATTTATAAGATTGCTATTTCAAAAGATGATATCTATATCATTTTCTGCAATTCTATTTTAGCTCCACCATCAACTGCTTGTATAGATGCTACTGGTTTATCTCTTTATAACAATCAATTCATCTATTCACCAACAACACAAGTTTATGCTGCCGGAATGTTAAACAACACATTTGGTATCTATAAAGCATATGGATATCAAAACGTCACCACAAGTGCAATTTGGAGAGCAAGTCAGAATCCTAATAACGCATCCGTCGAATGTCATTTTGCCCTGCAAACAGATCGTAATCTAGTTGTTTATACAATAAACAATGCTGTAATGTGGTCACCTTATGTTAATAATGGTGGTTCTGGAAATCCATTCTGTTTGGAAATGTTAGATTCTGGAAATCTAATATGGATTGATCGAAATGCAACAATTATTTGGCAAACAAATACTGCACAAAGCGGATAGTTTTCTTCTATACTATTTCGAATATTAATGGATAAATATTTGTATGTTGTGAAATGTTTTGTAAGCTTACAGTAAAAATTTGTGAATTATGCAACTAATATTTATGTGCTGATTTTTTTTTCGTTTTGATTTTCAGTTCTCGATGAAAATCAATGTCTTATATTAATCAAATGCTTTATTCTACTTTTGCTTTCACAGAAAATATAAAACGTTTCTAGATGTTATTGTATGAAGACAGTTCTTAATTCACATCGATAATGCTAAACAAAAATATCCTTTTTTTTTGTAGAAATGAAAGTTAAATGTAATTTGTGACGATATAAAATTCTTTGATATCATTTCTCACTAATAGGTGAATGCACCAATAATCTTACTACGAAAGCATCACAAGTAAGAAATTGAGTTCATAATTAAAGTAAATACATGAATTTTCCGTTTCTAAAGAATTATAATATATCATAGAGATTATCGAACTTCTTTTTGATGTCGATAATAAAACTGCGTATACCTATTGAATTGTTGATTTATTAAAAAAAATGATTATTATGATAAGAAGAAATAGTAATTAACAAAAAATAACTAAATAATAAATAGAGATTTTTTTCAAAGTTTCTAACAAATATTTGACATTTCACTTCTTCCACCACAGCCGTTACATGGAAGACTTATACCATAAGTACCTAAAACAAATTTATATCATTAAAATATTTAAGAAACTATATTGAAATAAATTTCTTACATTTTTTACATTCACCACAATGCCATTCTCTCCAATCATTACATTCTTGACATTTAACACAGTGCCATGTACAATCTTCTTGTTCAAAATCTTCTCGACAGAATGAATAATAATATCTTGAATCTTCATTAGATAAAAGCATACGAAAAAATTTTTGTATATGATCTAATTTTTCATCATTGCTAATTTTCTTCCATTTTTTTGCCCATTTTCCAAGTTCATCATCAAATCCGCACGCATCAGAATAACTAAAATGATAAACAATCTATTAAAGTTACAGGTTACATATGAATTTACTTACCAAGCAGCTTTCATGATCCGTTCTTGTAACTGATTTCGATCAATTTGTTTTAATTCATCAGCATTTTTAACATTTTCCACAAGCCAGTTGGAAAAACAAGGATTAGCTGAATATTTTTTTTCGTTACCAAAGAAATATTCTAAATGATTGAACATATTTTGACAAGATGGTCCACATCCACATGATGCATTACATCCACTACCAAATTTGAAGCAAGCACATGTTCGCTTTGTACATCCTTTGGAACATTTACATTTATCTTTTTTTTCATCATTTGGATTTTTTTCAGTTATTTGACCACTTTTTTGACCTGTATTTTGTTCTTCATCGTCGTCGTCGGAATAGTCGTCAATCCACATGGTTGATATTTCTAGAAATAGATTAAAGCTGTTCTACTTTATTCGAAACTGATAAGAGAAAACAAGAACGAATGAATGAATAACTGTCTATCTGAGCAGATGTAATATTTCTTTTTTTTAATCACGTGCGCTTTCTAGCCTTATACTTCTTGCATGACAGCCGGCGAATATCTATCGACTATGGTCGTATCTATATAAAATAATATAGACCCTGGATATCAAGTAAACGTTCTTTATCGACATATATATTGCTACAGTGTTATCGTAGCTTTGTAGAAAAAGATGATAGTTTGAAGGCTTAATAATAGTTCATTTATTTAAAAATGAAACGCAAATATTTATAGGTCAAGAAATGGCTACTTTGATTATTCACATTTCTTGTAATATAATATATTCTAGGAAAATACCTAAGTGATATCCTTTCATGCATCACTTGAAAATTTCAGTAAAAGTCAAAAAAAGAACAGAAGAAGAACGAATTAAGACAACGAAAGGAAAAATCCTATATAATCATATACGAAGAAAAAGAGGAAAATACCAGACAGACATATATGTGAAAGAATAGCGAACAAATAATTTATATGTTCGCTTACATATATGGTCATGATTATAGTACAAGCAACCATTTCATGTATGACTGGAATATATCTATTAGTCATTTTAAAAATGGAATTTTTAGTTGAAAATAATATATTTTTTTGAATTATTTTATTCAAATTTTTTTTTCATTGAATAAATATTAAGACCTTTGTATGGACTTCAGACGATTTATTAATGAAAATTTAAAAGTAATAAATATGCATGATGTAATTGAATATCGAATTTATTGATTTCTTTCTTAGATCATATCTGAACAAATGTGCAATTTCTAATTTGCTTTTTTTTAAAGTAATCTAGGAATTACTTTTTGTACATTAGAAGTGTTGTGCATATTTCATCTTGACAAATTTTTATTTATCTCGAGATATAGATAGCAAAGTATCATTTAAAGGAATCTTAATTTGATTAAGAAAAGAACATGTTGATTATTGTTACTATTCTGATGTTGTTAAAAAATCCATCATCGACAACGCTTAGCACTTTGTTCGTTTCAGTTGTCATACATTAAATATGTATCAGATTTAATTTTCGAAACAGATTAGCAACAAATCAGGATATATTCAACCTAGCATATCTTACAATCATTCTGTTTTTTTTGTGAGGAATTTAGCTATATTATCTTGTCACTTATATCTAGTTTTACTACCTCTTATTCTAATATCTTTAAAAAATATTAAGATTTGATAGAATTTGACTGGAGTTGGACTCAACGGTGTGAATGTTTCTTCTTCATCTACGTCCTCACATACTCACTTACCAGATAGAAAAGGTTTTGACTAAACTTTGTGGTTGAGCGAACGAGTTTTACATTGATAAGGTCTTTTTTTAGAAGCTTAATTACATAAAAAATTATCATTAAAATATCACGATCACGCATTCGTCTTTTTTTTTGATCTCCTACTTGTAATAAAGTACAAAAAGCTTTTATAATACGGATAAATAAGTTTGAACAAATTATATTCTATTTATATAAATTACGCACAAAATAAATATTAGAAAATACAAGCACAACATCAAAGGTATTTGTATAATAATTACAGTAATGTTCTTTTGTTTTAATATTAAATTGTTGTTTGTTTCATAGTTATTAATTGAATATTTGGTGTAATATGAATAAATCTTTGGAATTTTTGATGTATTGAACTGTTCGTACCAAATAGAAAACTAATTATTTTGCCAATAATTCGACCCATTTCTTTTCGATATACACTTCCAGATAGAGTGAACCTAGGTTTAAAAAAAAATAAAATAAATATTATTAAGAATATAGAGATATATAACTTACACGAAGAAACTTATACTACCATTAATATTTATAAATAGTTGCAATATTTGTTGAATAAAATTTTCAATTGTCAATCGATAAAGACTTTTTATTACATTTTGTGTACATGTTGAATATAGTTTGTCAATTGCAAGAGGTAATATTAATGAAACAGTGACAATGAATTGAATCAATAACATTTTAACCAATTGTCGATTATTTTTTCTTAATTGATTAGTATTCATATTATTTGTTGTTAACGGATGAATCTGTCCTCGAGCTTGATGAATATTATAAACAATTCCGAATCCAACAATAATCATAATTATAGGCGGTATTAAACAATATACAACAAAATAAAGAAAATCATGAAAAATTCTATAAGTGCCTGATTGAGCATAACAAAATGGACCAGTGCTGAGTTGTTCAATTGTAAAAAAAACAAGTTCATGACAATAAAGAACTAAAAAAAACAATGTAGTTAAAACAACTATATAACGTGCATATTTCACATTGCTTAATTGCCGACGACGAATATTTCGAGAACTAACACAATAACGATCAATACCAGCTAATGTTACAAACCATATTGAGAGAAATAATGATATATTAAGAATAAAATAGCGAATTCGACAATATGCTAAATTATAAGTAGAAGGATCAATTCCGAAGCCTTGGGAAAGAAAATGTGCCATTATGCCAAAGATAATAAAACCTAAATTTGCAATTGCTGAACTCAATAAATAAATTGAACATGGATTTTTGACAAGTGAAGGACGTGTAAAAATTAAAATACTGAAAATATTTCCAGCTAAACCTAAAATACCTATAGGTGTTGATACATATATTGCTAAATATTGACTAAGTGAAAGAATAATATTGTTTAATTCACTTGTATTAGACATTCTTGAATAATAATTCTCCTGAATATTTAAATTCTAAAAGGTAATGAAGAGTTCTGACAGATGTATCTTTAAAAAATAAGAAATTTTAGCTAACTGTTCTTAATTTCGAGAAGACTACATGCATATTGTAAATGTTTATCTCAAAAAAAATCCTACATCTAGAGATGCAAGTAAGTGAATGAAACGCTATCGACATCTTTCTAGCCGACGATGTCAGAGGTACGATTTTATCTCATTTATAATTATATACTTCAAAAAAGATTCTCATGTCATGATCTTTAAAAATAAACCAGAGACAATTAAATTTTTTCTTCATAATAATTAAAATTAAGATAAAAATAATCATCGTACGACGACAAAAATGATTAAAGAGATTCTAATCTCATGCTCAACCTTGTTCTATTTATACAACATACCATCATCTATCTTGATGATGAGTTTGGGTGTAGAGAAGTAATATATTAGTAGTAGCCACATTCATACTTATAGCTCAACAGTTTGTCATTTCTTTCTTTCTTGAAAATTTAATAGTCAAGTTAGTAATGTGTCGTCGTGACAATAGTAGTATGTACCTAACCTTTTGGCGATGGGTTTGTTTTTTTGAAACATAATTAGAAAAAAAGAAGTCCTTTGAAATAATTGACTATAAGTTTTTAATTAAGTTTATTTCCTGTTTGAGATGTATCACAAATATGTATATAATACATTCTGTAAGTTTAATACGAAGCAGAATAATAAATAGATTGTTGCCATCGTGTGATTTCGACAAATTCAGAAACGATGACGTCTGAATCTATAATGATTATATATTTATATATTCAGACAAAAATTACAAAACATAAAAGTACATGAGAAAGCCTTTGATCTTCATTTCTGTTCTTTATTTTATGTAAAAGAAGTAGGTCGAAACATTTTAACTATAAAAAGTTCTACAAAGTTGTTGCAATAACTCGATCAAATGACTCACCTCTAGCCCTGTTTGTGATTTCTACACTCATAAACTTTGATAACATATTTCTTAAAGTCTATTCTTATTATTATAAAACTTGAATTGTTTAGACACCGCTTCTAGGTCACTATTTCATTTCTTTATATTTACAATTTTCAAACGTTTTCAGTTAGAATAAACGACTATATCAATGCAAGACAATATATAATATCTCGCTGATAAAAAATGGCGTGCTCACCACATATTTTATATGTCCTAGAGAAGCTTATTATCGCACCTTATTATTTATACCTTGATGGCCTGCATTTATAAGTAAAGGTGAGATATCATAATATAGAAGCACAATTTTATTCTATAGAAAGATGTGTGTTATCTTTCTTCTTTTTTTTGTTGTTGCTGTTATTGCTAGAGATCATCATTCGAATGTTAATTGGGCGTTTAGGAATCGTCATTCTATAAGAGATGAACCATATCCTTGCGATCGAGACATAGGTATTTCTACATCTTCAAATTTAATTCCAACTTCGACCATTACTCAGTTAAATGTTTCAACTACAGCATATGTTAGCATGGAACAAATTGAAGTGACATGGACACCAATATTGAATTCATGTCACGATGATTTTATCGGAATTTATTTTGTAGAAACATCGATTCTTACAGGTATGTATGCTATTTTTGCATAATTAGCCAGAAAAAATCAGGTGATTACATATAAATTATTCACTATATTATATAGTATTAACAATCATCTTTTCTGTTTTCATCAGGTGCTTGTGATTATGTTGGCTTTGTATTCGTACAAAATCATACTAGTACATCATGGGAAATGATCAATTTACGTCGGCCACTTGAATTTCGTTACTATTCACGTAATCAGAATTGCTCCAGCAACTATTCATTTGTCGGCAAATCACCCGTTGTTCGACCCCTTAATGATAACGAACCAACACAGATTCATTTAGCATATGCTGATCGAATCGATCAGATGTTTGTTTCTTTTGTTACTAATTCAAATGCTCATATACCACGATGTCAATATGGATTGAATCGGTTGTCATTAGAATGGGAAGCGAATGGTACGACACTCACTTATACGGCATCAGACATGTGTGAAGGACAAGCTACTGTATGGGATCCTCAAAAATTCATTGATCCTGGCTTTATGCACACAATTTTACTCAATGATCTTCATCCATCAACTATGTATTTCTACAGAGTAGGTAACGATGAAGATGGTTGGTCATCAGTATACTCATTTACCAATCGTCCGGCAATAAATGAAGATTCAGAAGTGACCGTTATTGCTTTTGGTGATATGGGATTGGCACCATTTGCAACAGGCGCTAAATCAACCATGGATCGAGTACGAGCACGAGTAATTTCGAGTAATATAACTTGTCTATTACATATTGGTGATATCAGTTATGCTATGGGTATTGGTGTTTTGTGGGATTCATTTATGAGTCAAATAGAATCGTTTGCATCTCGTTTACCGTATATGGTCAGTATTGGAAATCATGAGTATGATTACATTACTGGTAATAATAAGGATCCAAGTGGAGCACCAGTTCCTTTTCGTCCTAAATGGTACGTGATATATCGTTATCATAATTTATTTTGCTTCTCTATAAACTGTTATATAAATCATATTAGCGATAGTTTTATCACTACATCATCTTTTTTAGGGGTGATTATGGTACTGATTCTGGTGGTGAATGTGCTGTTCCTATGGTGCGTCGTTTTCACTCTCCATCTAATGGTAATGGTCTATTTTGGTATAGTTTTGATGTTGGTCCCATTCATTTTGTTTTCTATTCAACTGAACATGATTTTCATCGTGGATCACTACAATATATTTGGTTAGAGCAAGATCTTCAATCAGTCAATCGTTCTCGCACGCCATGGCTTATTGTTAGCTCACATCGTCCTATGTATTCATCACAAATAATACCAGAATCCTATTTTATTATATTAATGTTACAATTATATATAGAACCGTTATTGTATAAATATCATGTTGATATTAATTTTTATGCTCATATACATTCGTATGAACGAACTTGTCCAATGTATCAACATAGATGTGTTGATGATGGTATTACGCAAATTTTAATAGGTATGGCTGGACAAGATTTAGTTTCGTATCC